AATGAAGCAGAAGTAGATGTTTTTCTGGAACTCTCTGGCTTTGTCTATAATCCAGCGCATGTTAGCAATTTGGTCTCTAGTTCCTCTGCCCCTTCGGAATCCAGCTTGTACCTCTGGGAGTTCTCGGTCCACATACTGTTGAAGCCTACCTTGGAGGATTTTGAGCATAACCTTGCTAGTGTATGAAATGAGGACCCATTCAGAGAACCATGCAAAAAAGAAAAAAAAAAGGGATAAACCGAAAAAGGGAAAGAAATCATCAAAAGCGACTATATCTGAACCTCCACCAGTTTCACTCCCCTCACCAATTTTTGAGGACTCATCTCAAGAGGCACCAGTCTTCTCAGACAGAGAAGATCACACATTGGCATTGGCGCAAGCAGCACAATCCATTTCAAGCTTGTCGCCAAGTTCAGGCCAATCCACGGCTGAAGGTCATTCCAGCCCGGCCATGGCCCTTTTCATCCCTCTATCATCAGGGCGGCAGTTACTTCTCACAAGTGCACTTCAGACTCTGAATCAATCACCTTGAAAGCACAGAGAGAAACGGAGACATACCTCTCCAGCTCAAGAATCACATAGGCATAGACAGCATTGTTGTCATGTTGAACCCCATTATTACTACAGACACCACTTCTATGACCCATACTATCCTCCTAGATATCAAGAATACGGATATTATGATTAGCCCAGACGGCCTCGATATGCACAACCACAATGTACTCCGGACTGTCTCGACTCGATACCGTATCGAGACTGGTGCCTACACAGCCAGATGTCCATCCCATTCCTAATATTCTGATAACTAGATCAGGTCTCTCTCCATCAACACCATCAACATCGTCACAAGATGGTGATTCCTCATCTTCAGAAGATTCACCACCTCAACATCCAACCCCAACTTCGGATACACTAGATAATCACCCTCCATCACCCTTGGAGTATTATACTTCATATACACAACTTGTGCTCAGAATGGCCAAAGTACTCCACCTCGATATTCAGGAAACATCTACACAAGAAAAATACTTTGTCTTCCATGACTTGGAGCAAGACAAAACCCCTCCACCTAACTTGAGCTTGATACCAGCTATGCTTCAGCTAGTGAAGGAATCTTGGGATAAACTGACATCATCACTCCAGATTCCTTGCAGGATGGAGAATCATTATAAAACTCATGGTACCAATGCCACATTCCTCCTAAAACATCCAGAACCCAACTC